ACCGCATTAAAAAACCTTAAGTGAAAGAAAACTTTAAGCAATCTCTATCAAACCAGCGAGCACCAGGCAGCAGTTAAAGCAATGAATGGACTAGATATTCATAGAGCAGCACGGGTGAATCTTAAAACCACAGTGCTGCATACAAACAGGAAGCAACAGAATGAGACATAGTATTGATTATGTATAGAAATATACACACACAACAGACCAGTTGTAAGGAGACATTTTTGAGCCAACTTGGGAAATCTAATTGGGGATTGGGTATTAGATGAGACCAAAGTATTCTTGATAATACTGTTGGGTGTAATGATGGCATTGTGATTAGGTACGAAAATGTTCATTTTGGCGGGGGGATGCATAACTGAAGAATATAGGGGTGAAATGACATGGTATCTGGGATTTACTTTGAGACATTTCATTCAGCAAAGGGAAAAAAAGATGAGGCAAAATCTTCATAATTTTTGAATCTGGGAGATGAGTATACTGAAATTTCCATATTAAAATTTAAAACAATACATATTTTCAAGAATATATTCAGACAAAAAAGATACACACCAAACATGTTAGAATGATTTTCTATGGAGGGGGGAAGAAAATAGGAGTAGGCAATGAGGACAAAAGAGAATAAAGAATGTAGCAAACAAGAACGGTTGATGAAAGTACAAGAAGAGGAGAAAAAAAAATTCTATCCCCATAACTCTGCCACCCTGGCATTTTACTTTTTTTCTAAGCCTCTGACGCTGGTTCATGTGCTTACTCTTTCTGAGTGTTTGTCACTATGGTGGATACTTCACTTTGTGCCTCACTTAATGAAGAGATAGGAATGAATTTTTGCCTACTAACTGCCCGCACTGGGCTAAGACCTCTAGGTATGTGGTCGCGTTTTATCTTTTCATAACATTGTGACATAAGTATCATTATCTCCATTTTACTTAATGTGGAAAACTGAGAGTAAATCGCAAAGCTGGGACTGCAAACACCGCAACCTCAAAGGCCCAGGATCATGTGATGGTACCAAGCTGATCCAACAACTTCTTGATAATTATTGCTTTCAAGGTCTGCCTAGTTGTCTACTATATTGATGCTGGGTAATTTACTTACCACGCTCCTATTTCGGAGCACTTACTTGGGCTGTTTCCAGTTTTTTGCTTTCATAGACAGCCCTGTGAAGAACATCTTCAGGTACTGAGGTTTTTGATTCCGTTGAACTATTTCCTTACCAAACATGGGTTACTTTGTATTCACATAAAGATGTGGGCCTCATTATGGTGGTGCTCCATGTTGAGGTAGTTTCTGGAAAGGGTTTGAAATCACACAGAGTACATGTGTGTGTGTGTGTGTGTGTGAGACAGAGAGAAAGAAAGAGTGTATGTGTGTGTGTGTGTGTGTGTGTGTTGGGGGTGGGATGGGACAGAAGAAAAGTGTGTGTGTATGTGAGACAGTGTGTTGGGGTTGGGTGGGACAGAAGAAAAGTGTGTGAGTGTGCGTGTGTGCGTGTGTGTGTGTGTGTGTGTGTGTGTGTGTGTGTGTGTGTTGGGGGTGGGGTGGGACAGAAGGAAAGCCCCGAGGGGAAACAGGGAGGGGGCAGGCACCTTGGAGAGGCAGGAAACGCAGGAGGGGTGAGGTCTCAGGCCAGGCCGGAAGTTGCATCCCGGTTTGCTTCTGTGGCCTTCACATTTCCCTAATGTCCTCCTGGCTCAAGCTTCTTGGGCTTTGGGGTTGTGGGCAGAGGCCAAGAGGGATTAGGCTGGTTGTGGTCCAGCTGCCTCCTCTTTGCCCTGATACTCCCCAGCCCTGGGCCCCCCACCACTCAGTCAAGAAGGGCTTGGGAGACCATGCACACCCTCTGAATCTCTTCTAAGAGGGTAGGAGGAGTGGGGTGAGGCTGGCAGAGATCTGAGATCTATGCTCTGGGCCCTACCCCTATTGCTGTCAGTTCCTAAATCCAGGCTTCCACACTCGGTCATACATGCAGATCACCTAGGATAATGTTAAAATGCAAATTCTCATTCAGCTGGTCTGAGTTTTTTTACAAGCTTCCTAGTAATACTGTTGGTCCTCTAACCACATTCCAAGTAGGAAATCCCTAAGGAGCCTGGCCAGGGTCCCAGTCTCCCCTGCCCACCCCCCACACCAGAGCTCAGAATTGAGATAAAATACCTGGGGAGAGGGGCCTTAGGCCTTGATAGGGGGAGAAAGTTGTCTCCCAAATCAAGGCAGCACTTGTTCCTCTAATTCCAGATAATGGTGAGCTGGCTGGTCCCCCTGGAGATGGGAAGGGTCTGCAAGAGAGGATCTGCCTGGCAGGAAACAGACTCAGAGTGGGGACTGGCTTGCCCAGGGCCACACAGCCTGCTTTTTCCCTGGCAGGGGGCTGGGAACACCCTAGACCGGAGCCTTCTGCACAGAGGTCTCATAGCCTGGTCTCATAGCCTGGCTTCCAGGTAGGGTTCGTGGGGGCAGGGAATGGGAGTCTGGCAAGCCCTGGGGACAGGGCCAATGGCAGGGCTTCAGGGACACGCAGCTGCTGTGTGTAGGAGGTGGGCGGCTGCAACCCTTCTCCCTGGGGCGGTGTCAACTCTCCAGCCCCTTGGCGGCTGCCCTGGACAGCCTGGGAGGGGTCAACTGGGGATAGGCAGCAAGTAAATATAGACCCAGGGAAGGAAGCCAGACGGCCCAGCCGTGTGCTGCTGACCTCTTGCTAGAGGGCTGGGGAGGGTGGAAAGGGATTACATCCCTGCACCCTCCTCTCAGGGTGGATGACACCTGGCCCAGTAGCCCCCTAGATTTGCTGGAAGTGGGTGGGGGCAAAGGGCAGAGCCTCCCAAGGGGACTGGAGTGGGAGCAAGTGGAAAGTTGGTGAGGAGATACTGTTCCTGGGTGACCTACAGCAAGCTGCTTTCCCTCCCTGGGCCTCGTGTTTTCTTCTCTAGTGATTGCTCTCAAAGCTGCTGCCCAGCTGGATTACTCCAGGGTGAGGGACTGATCAGTCCAAAGGGACATGGGGTCCAAAAGTATAAGGGGAAAGGGCAAGTTCCCATCACAGGCCCCCCCACACCCCATGGGTCTTGCTTATTGCTGAGGGGAAGGATGCCCAGGGTGTAAATTCATCTCCCCCTGCTTTCTCACCCACTCACTGGGTGCTGGCCCTCTCCACTCTGGGGCCTCAGGGCCACCAGACCTGGTCCTCCCCCAGTCCCAGTGCCACACCCCACAGGGCTCTCCTCGCCCCTTCTGGCTGCAGCCCTGCACTGACCCCACAACATACACACCATGTCCACCAGGTCCAGCCAAGACCCCCCTGGACCCCCCATTCTGGGAAGGGGAATTTGAACAAGGCAGCTACTCCACCACAGACACATTTATTGTCAAAACATATTCCCAAGCATTGAGGGGAAAGGAGCTAGCCAAGCGGGTGACTTTTTTCCCCCCACTTTCAAGGAGCTAGGGGTGGGGGAGGGGGCAGGGATATAAAAATAACAATACCAGCAGCTAACATTTATTGAGCTCTTCCTAGATGAGCTCGGTGCTAAACAAGCCTTTACATGCATTGTCTCATTTAATCCTTACAACAACCATACAAGGTAGGTACCATTATCGTCCCCATTTTACAGATGAGGAAACTGAGGTGAAAAAAGGTAAAGTAGTAGTAGATGGCATCAGCTTTCAGGGATGCAGTTGAGAGCCTTCCAACGTTTCTCTTCTGTCACACACTGGTCCTTAGTTTTTCCCATCTTGCACCACTTTCAGTTCTTTCAACTCTTTTTATGTTTTTGTTTTTTTTAAAAAAATAGATTCTGCTCATGTCCTGGAGAGCCACTGTCTCCTACCCCAATTGGTCAAATCTGAGTTTGCTCCAAGATTCAGTTTGGGATGTGGTTGGGTACAGTGGGTCTCTAATTATAGGGGAGTCTGTGTGTGTGTGTGAAGCTCTTTAGATGGTGGAAGCTCTTAGAAAATACATAATTAATAAAATTACAACCCCAGCTCCCCAGCCCATCTCCCCACCTCTTCCCTATGTTCCTATCCCCTCCCCTACCCCCTAGCCAAATCTAGATCTGACTGAGTTTTCCCTCTCCCCACAGGGCGGGGTCTTAGTCACCTTTATGTCCACAAGGGCCCAGGGCCCTTAGTAAATGTTGGTAGAATGAATGAATGAATGAATGAATGAAGGCCATGTCCTTTGCAGAGCATAGAGGAGGGAGCTCAGGAGTCCTGAGTTCTAGCCCAGACTGTGTTCTCACCTGCAGTCCACCCTCCGGGTAGAGCCAAGCTTCTTGGCACTATTTGCTGGGTTACCCTCTCTGGCCCCAGGGGGTCACAGGGTGGGGGCTGGGTGTAGGAAGGGAGTCAGCAGGGCATCTTTGAGTGTAGGAAGGTGTATTGTTCAAGTAGAGGACAGCGCTCTGGCCTGGGAGTCAGGAGCCCTGGTTCAAGTGGTGGCTGTGCAGCTCAGGAGCTGTGTGAACTTGGGCAGTCTTGAAGAACAATACTGACTAATGTATAATAGTCCTTTCACATATTTTTGGTCCTTGGTTACCATCCTGTAACTTGGGTACTGTTATCAATATACTCATTTTACAGATTTGGATGCAGAGGCTGAAGAAGTCAAGGTACTTGCCCAAGGTCACATAGCAAGCTGGAACTTGAACCCCAGTCCACCCCTGGCCCTTGCTACTGCCCCTGTCTGTGGCATGAGGAGGTGGGCTCAGATCTGAGCCTTCCAGCACGGGATGCCTACATGGTAGCATGGCAGCAGGAGGCAATATCAAGTGAATCCCCTTACTTGGGCCTCTCTGGCCATCTCCAGCCAGAAAAGCCAGTCTAACCTTGTGGAAGGTTTCCTAAGCACCCCTTCCTTCCCCCTCCTCCCCGCAGTCCCAGGGCCTCAGCTGCTGCCCCAGGAGGAGGGCTATGAGTCCGTGAGATGCCCATGAACTTCTGCTTTTCCTGGGGTAGGGGGAGTGGGATGGCAGAGCAGGGGCTAGGGCCTGGGCCCCTCACACAGGCATGGGCACCTCATCATACTCATCCCGACCTTCCTGCTCGTCAAAGGTCACCTTGGCATCATCGGCATCCAGCTGGAGGGGTGGGGCAGGAAGGAGAGAGGGTGAGAGGCTGCTGGGCCACCAGAGCTCTCCTCTGCACTTAGGGTTAGAGATGGCTTGCTCTCTTGGAGCCTTGGACAAGTCCTGTCCTGTCCCCTAGCCTCTGACAATACAGGGGTTGGTCTAGACGAGAAGTTTTCAAAGGGTGAGGAGCCCCAGGGATCCGGTGTCCCAATAGGGGAGATCTGCAGAAGGTGGGCAAAGGCCCCACTTCACCAGGGCAGCCCCACGGTGACCTGTGTCACATTGTGGAAGAATTCTACTGGAGGAGCAACTCTGTTCAAAATGAGTCAGAAGACCACAGAACTAGCCACTCATGATGGTAACAGCTCAAGTGGCACACACCCTGTGTGCCTCTTAACCCTCTCAACAAACCCTGTCATTATCCTCGTTTTACAGACTATGAAAACCAAGGTACAAAGAAATGAAGCCAGGATTTGGACCCAGGTCCTACACCCAGACCTTGAACATGATGTTCTTTGCCTTCCCCAGTGCTGAGACTCACCCCTCCCATTCTCCCAGGCCCTCTGATGCCCCCTCCCTGCCCCTGGCTCTGGAGGTCCTGCCTCCCCGTCTCTGCCCTCCCCAAGATGCCCTCTCTGGTGGGCGGGCAGCTACTCACACACTGGAGCTCCAGGTTCCAGAAGATGAGTGGCAGTAGAAAGCGCCGCAGGGGCACAGTGAGGATGAGGACAAAGGGCAGGGCCAGTGAGGCAGGTGTGGACTTCACCACCCACAGCGCTACCAGGCAGAAGATCTGGATGCCCGTGAACAGGTGCATGCGCCAGGTCTTCACCTGTGGGCAGAGGCTAGGGTCAGTGCCTGCCCTACCCCAGCACCACTTACCCTGGGCTAGGCAGCTGGGAGAGCCCTATACCCGCTTGACGTAGGGCACATCTGGGTGGTACTTGGGTGGCTTAAACAGGAGCAAGATACGATCGAAGAGCTGGATGCCACTGAGGGATGTGACCCCCATGTAGAGGAAGATGCCAAACAGCACAGCCAGGGGAATGCGGGACAGGATGGGCTCCATGAAGATGGACAGGCCTGTGGGAAGAACAGCACACTGTCAGCCCCAGGTCATCCGGAGGACCAGTGCCAGCAGGGGGCAGGCCCAGGCTTGGGGCTGGGAAATAAAAACACGGGTACCATATAGAGCCCTTACCGTGGGTCTTTTTAATCCTCAAACAACCCCAGGGAGTTGGTATTATCCCCATTTTACAGATGAGAAAACCGAGGCTCAGAGAGGTGAAGCAAACTAAGGCCACACAGCTAGTAAGTGGCAGAGCTGGCAGGGTCAAACTTCTGCCTGCCTTACTTCAAAGTCCACTCTCCCAACCTAGTGGGGGTTACAGAGATTAAGGGAGTACATCTTTCCCCCTACCCCCCATTCCCAGCCTAGAATGCCTCCATTGCCCTCCACCTATCCAAATCCTACCCTTCTCCAGCTGACAGCAACCTCGCCTCCTCCATGGCACTGCCCACACTGAGCCCAGCTAGACTCTCCGCTGCTCCAGAGCTCAGCACAACCCCAGTGGCCCTTCTGTCTTTCCACCCTCCCTCCTTATTATGTCTGGAGATTTGCCCCTTGCATCAATCATAGAGCAGCTGAGCAGGAAGAGACCTCAGGTGCATCTAATGAACCCTCTTACTGTGCAGATGGAGAAACTGAGGCCCAGAGACAAGATGGGCACCGAGTCAGCAGCAGGGCAGAGCTGAAACCCACCATTCACTGGGCATCTATCTAGAGAAGGTCTAGTCTAGAGAAGGCCTCAGGCATGGAGGCCCCCTCCTTCCCTGCTCAGATGCCCATTCCAGGGCCTCAGGCATTTCCTCCAGGCTGCCCCTGTGTGGTGGATGTCCATGAATCATTGATGCTAGGGAGATGTGGGCAGCAGTGTGTGGGGAGACCTGGCTTCAGGGTGGGCAAGGCTGGAGGGGGCACTGAAGCCTAAAAGGCAGGGGCTGGAGGGCTGGGGCAGGAGGCAGGGCTGGGGGCTGGACACAAGCATTTGGGAGTGCGGCCCTCACTCACCCACGAGCACAGAGACCAAGAGCCCGCTGATCCGCTGCTCCTTGACCTCCTGGATCTGGGCCGCGGCCCCAGGGGTTCCGGCCTTGCCCATGACAGTGAGGGCGTTGGCATGGGTGACAGAACGCACGGTGGTGGCACTCAGCCAGGGCATCCCAAAGAGGGCAGCCACTCCGCCCATGCCCATGACCAGCAGCAGGTCCAGGTGGAAGCCAGAGCCCTTGACCATCTTGCGCTCTGGCTTGCTGATAATCAGCCTGGGAGGGTGGGCGGTCCGGGGTAAGAGGGTGTCTCGCCCACCGACATCCCCTCTGCCCCTTCCTTTCTTTCCAAACTTGGGACCCTCCATACCTCAGCTTTTCCTTCTGTGCTTATCACCCTTTGAATTCTCTGTTCTCCCTCCCTCCTCATCTTGGGAATCACAGACTCTAAGAGTGGAAGAATCTTTAAAATCATCTAGAACCTCCACAGGAAGATTGATCCTGATGAAGCTTGTATAGACCCATTTCAAGGTCCGGCACCTAATTTTGTAATTCTCATTTTGTATCCTTTTTCTTAGAAAGGACTCCCCAAATTATAAAACTTCAGGTCCCACAAAATCTGGACCTGCTGCTGCCTTCCATCGTTCTGGCTAGTCTGTAGGGTTGCACGCCTAGCAGAGCCTAGTGCTCCATCCTCTGTCTCCTGCCTGCCTCGAGCTGGCCCTGTTCCCTGCCTTTGACCCTCCCAGGCCCAGCTGCTCCCCTGGCTCTTACGTGGTGATCTGAGACTCAAGGAAGATGAGGATGAAGACCAGCAGGGCAGGCAGGGCAGAGGCGAACATCATCCAGATGGGAAATGTGGAATACAAGCCAAGTGGGTGAATGACCCAGCCCCGGGCCGTAGAGTTGGATACCATGAGGCCTTTGGGCACTTTGAGTTTCTGTGGGAGGGGGCAGCTGGTGAGAACACTAGGGGGAGGCTGGGGGTGGGGGGGGAGCCAGGGTCCTGGGAATCAGGCAGTTGGATTGGGAGCACTTGGGAACTTATGTATATTGAGCACCTACTATGTGCCCAGTCACTACACTAAGCCCTTTGCATACGTCTTCTCATTCCCAATTTTATAGATGAGGAAACAGAATCAGAGAGAATATGTAACTTGCCCTGCATCACACAGCTATTTGGTAGCAGAGCTGAGATTGACACCCAGATCTCCCTGGCTCCAAACGAGACTCTTTCCTATGGCCTTGGGTTAAGAAGTTAAGTGCAGAACCTGACCAAACCCCTTGCTTTGGCCAGAAGGGTCCTGTGGGCTGTGGAAAGAGCATGGGGCTCCAAGGGGAGGCAGGGATGGGGTAGGGGTAGTTCGAGTTGGCTTCAGTTTAGAGGAAGCTGTTCTGGAGAGGGGGAATGGAATGAAAAGCAGGATCAGGGTCCTGGGGTTTGAGGGCTGGGGGGAAGGGTCACCTGGGTGTAGGTGTCCTCGATGAAGAAATCCACCATGACCATGATTAAGATGGAGATGGGGACACCAAAGTCTCCGATGACTCTGCGCAGCTGGGGGTGGGTAGAAGGACCAGTGGTCAGTGCCCAGTTGTTACTCACCTCCAGCATCCCACCTGCCCTCCCTCTAGCCTCACCTTCACTGAGGGGCCCTGCTCTTCCAGGGTGATCCACCAGCATCTCATGACCTCAACTGTAACTGCTTCCTCTCTTTTTCCCTTGGCCTTGCCCCACCCCCTCCCAAGATCTATACCTAACTCCCCACCGAGTTCTCAGCCTAGGGACTAGGGAGGCTTGGAATTAGGAGGGGGCAAGCACAAGACATAGATGTGGGAAGCTGGGGTAAGAACGGGAACTAAGTACACTGCGGAAGCTGGGGGGCTTTGGACTGGGATTGGGTGGGGGAAGCAAGGGCAGGTGAGGAGGGTATGCTGACCTTTCCAGGGAAGTAGGAGCTGTTCTTGAACTTGCGTAGCATCATGGCAAAGAAGAAGGTGCCAGCCATAAGCACGAGCGAGAGGAGGGCTGTATTGGGCAGGGGGCGCAGGGGTTTGGGGTCCATCGTCACATTGGCTTCGTAGTACTTCTGCAATGGGTGTTCCTGGAATATCTGTAGCAGAAAACCAAGTCACACTGTTCTTCCTCAACCTTGGTTTGGGCTGGAAAGTATCAGCTAAATCCATCCAGCACCACCATCCATCCATCCATCCATCCATCCATCCACCCACCCATCCATCCATCCATCCATCCATCCATTCATCCATCTTCCTCAGCTGTCATGAGTACAGAGAGGCAATAGGATTCCTCAGCTTGGTTTTCAAGGATGAGAGGCAGGCTAGATTTGGGTGGGGTGGGCCATGGGGGCAATGATTGTGTGTGTGCGCGCACGTATGTAGGTGCAACCAGGGCCTGGGAGACATGAGAAGGCTGGAGAGTAGGAAATAAGTGAAGAGGTGGTTTCTAGAAGGGGCTTAAGAGATCTGGAACAGAAAGACCCACCAACCAACAGAATCGGGGCAGACATAGTGTCTACCCTTTCTCCAGGCATAGCTTGAGGTGACAGAGTTAGGGAGGCAGGGCATTCCGACCACAGGTCTTGCAGTTCTTGAGGGAGTGGGGGGACTCCAGAGCCCCCATGCCCTTTTCCCTGCTTGCAGCTTCCCATGGTCATACTCACCCATGCACATGTATGCACACTGTCACACCTGCCCACTAGTCACACCATGATGTGGTCATAAACATGGATAGGTGGACAGAGGGTGCCCTCTCGTGCACAGCCACCCTGCAGTCATGTCAAGAACACAGTCACCGCAGTAAACGTCAACGTGTACATGGTCACAGTCACACACAGTCACGTGTGCAGACATGTGAACAATGCAGACATATATGTTCCCACAGTTATATGTCATATGCACAGTCACACACAGGTGACAACAGAGGCATACAAATCCTATTTGGACATGGATGCAAAGACACCACAGGTACATAACCTTATCCACAGTCTCCCACATATGTTCGTACATGCTTTAACACCCATGGCCCCCACCTTGATCAGCTTGGAGAAGGTCTCATAGATGAAGATGAGGGAGATGAGGAAGGAGAAGATCTCCTGGGTGTAGCGGGAGATGAAGCGAACCAGGAAGCTGCCCTCAAAGGCCACCACTAGCACCACCAGCAGGATGAGCCAGAAGCCAATCCACACGCGGCCCACGATGTACTCCAGCTTGTTCTCTTCACAGAACTGCAGGGCAGAGGCAGAGGGCGTCAGACACCACACATGGACAGGTGGGGTCAGGGATCAGTCACAGGGTCAGAGTGGGCGGGACAGAGCTACCGAGTAGAAGGCTTCCTCGAACACAAGCAGGGGTCCTGAGAAGCCAACCACAAGCAGAGGCTGAGCCCCCAGTAGGGTGAAGATAATGCCCTGCACCGCAGTGGAGATGAGCAGTTCCGACACCCCCATCAGGTTCTTGGTCTTTTCTCCTGTGGGCAGAGGTCACAGTGGCGTCAAGGTCATTTCCAGGGACCAATAAAGCAAGTCATGGGCTGGCTGATGCAGGGTCCAGAGGGTCAGATGGGGTCAGAAGTCAGGGGTGGGGCAGAGGCCAGAGGGTGGGAGGTGAGGGACAGGGGGCAGACAGAGACACTGACCCAGGAGGCCACCAAAGGTGATGGCTGGTGACAGGGCGGCAAAGTAGATGAAAATGACAGCAGCCAGGACCTGGGGACTGAGAGCGTCCGTGATGTCACTCAGGTAGTGGGTGTAGCGGCGCCGGATGTCCCTCACCAGGCCCCCAAAGAACTGGCCTGTCCGCTGCAGAGGGTCTTCAGGTTCCCCTGGACCCCCATTCAGGTCTGTGGAGGACAGAACCATGATTGGAGGGGGTGATGGGGTTGTGGGGGGCATTGTCTGATGGGAAGCGGTGGCCGAGGAGGCTGGGAAGCCTGGGGCTGGGGAGAGGTGTAGAGGGGTACTTGATGGGAGGTGGGGGTGTTCAGAGGAGGCAGGGGCTCACAGGGCTGTGCTGGGGTATCTGAGGATCTATCGGGGCTAGGAAGCCTTGGGCTGGGCAGGGCAGGTACCTAGGCCCTTGAGGAAGCTTGGGTCTGGCTCGGCAGTCCTGCGCTGGTAGCGCCTCCGTAGGAGCTCCTTCTGCACGGGCACCAGGCTGAGCAGGGCCTGCTCGGAGGAGGCGTCCGTGGGGGGCAGCACCAGGCTGCAATCCAACAAGTCTTCCAGGGAGCTCACCAGGTCCTCCCGGCTCTGGGCTAGGTACGCATCTATGCGGAACACCTGGGAGCAAGAGAGAGGATCAGGGCTGCCAGGACCTGCTGAGCAAAAGGACCCAGGAGTCCACAGCCAGAGTCTCCAGGGACTAGAACCTTCTCACCCAGCTCCTTGCTGTGGAACTGCTTTTCCTGCCCCCTTCCTATCCCTACTCCCCACTAAGAAAGGGCTTCAGGAAGACACACAGGGGCCTTCCGTAGGGAAAGGAGAAGGGGCTAAAGCAAACCAGATAGGTTATAGCAGACCAGATGGAACCAGGCCAGACCAAGCCAGTCCTAACCGGGTAGAACCAGGTCCGAGTGGGCCAGACTAGATCAGGCCAAGCCAAAGTAAACCAGATCAGATCAGACAGAGCTAGACCAGACTTCACAGCCAGGACTGACCCTGGCCAGATGGCACAGAAGCAGCTGAATCGGGTCGAATGGGTCAAGCTAGTGAACCTGAAGTAACCCAGACCAGTAGAGTTCAGAGAATGAACCTCTGCCACCCCCACTCCTCCACTCCCCCTCCTATCTCTTCCCAGTCACCGCCCCTTTCTTGGCTTCCCCCTCCCCAGCTTCTCCTCACCCTCTCTGACATGAGGGTGGCAGCAGCCCGGCCCAGCTGGGTGTAGTTAATGCGGGGCTTCTCGGGGCCCAGCAACACGAAGAGGAAGCGCACAGGCACGGGCAGCTTCACGGCCTCCTCCAGCATTGCGGCCTCCTGCAGCCGCACGAAGCCCAGCACAGGCCGCTCTAGGAAGGCAGCGTAGCCTATGGGGAGGGTGAGTGGTCAGGCCAGGCTGGAGTGCAGGGTGGGTGGACTTGAGGGAAGGGCCTGCTGGGTCCCAGTTTAGGGAGAGGCAGGCTAGGCCAGGTCAGGAGGTGGAAGCAGTAGGGTGTCTGAGTGAGGGATGGAGCTGCTTACCCACTAGCACCAGGGTGGCCTCTGAGTCTGGGGGAATCTTTTCCAGAATTCCAGATGGCAATTGCTCTTCTGTGCCCCTGTCTTCCTGTTGGAAGGAGGATGGCAAGGGGAGCCCTCAGGCCACTGTGTCCCCAGAGACCTGAGCCTCCAGCCCTTCCTCCCCTGCCCACTCTCTCGTTCTGGTTGGGGGCTTTTCAGCTCTCCTCATGCACACCTGGCACAGTCTCACCTTCCCACAGAAGAGCTGTGTCTCCAGTGAGGGCTGTTGGGGGAGCAGAGGCTCTAAGGGGTCCCCAGAGTGTGTCAGAACCATGGGCTTCAAACTTCCCAGGGCCTTCAGGTCTTCTGCATGGCTGCAGGATTCAAAACAGGGGACATGGGTTGAGTGAACTGTCCAGGCTGGGCTGTGGAGTTATGTGGCAGAAGCAATCAAGGGTAGACACCAAGTGGGACTTCCCAGTGACCAGACCACGGAGACCCTGGGGTAGGAGAATCAGAGGAGCTTCTTACAGCATGGATGTAAGTGATGGCCTCCATCTAGAATGGCTAGGTGGAGCCAGAAAACTGGATGGAGGAAAGGGCCTTGAGAGTCTGCCCTCCTGGGAACTGGTGGCCTGGGAGGGCTTAGGTCCTCAGACTGCTGTCCCCAGCTCTGAGCATGGAGACATGGTCACCTCTTGAGGTGTGTTAGAGACAGGAGCAATAGTGGAAAAAGAGTGGGCCTCAGACAGGTGGGGGAAGGGCCATCTGGAGGCCTCAGGGAGACCTTGGGGCAGGTGGGCAAAGGCAGGTAGGTCCCATGGAGTGCCCTGGTGGCAGGGGCACCTGTGTTTGAGCAGCAGGGCCCGAAGCAGCTCATCTCGGTCCTGAGGCCGGACCTGCTCATCATAGATAAACCTGTCCAGCAGCTGGTTGGCCACCCCGGGCAGGGATGTCTCCGGCAGATCCAGGAGGACGGTGCCTGCAGACAGGGGAGGAATGAGCTGGGCAGTGGGACCTGGGCCCTCTTTCACCCCCAGGCTTCAGGTGCAGGGACCACAGAGGGGCCCGGAGCCTCACCCTTGGCAAAGGCTCTCTGCAGCTCCAAGAGGCTCCAGAAGGTGAGATAAGACAGGTGTGGGCGGCCCCAGGCCCCGTCCTCCCCCAGGTTTTCCTCCACTCGCATCCAGCGTGCTGCCTCCATCCAATGAGGCTCCCTGTTCGTCTCGTCCATCACCAGTTCCTGCAGCTCCACGTAGACCTGCAGCCCCACAGGCCAAAGTTAGCCCACCAGGCCCAGGGCTAAGCATGGAGAGGCTGGAACCCCAGGGCATAGTGGTCACCCAGAACCTGCACTCAATAGGCTCCCGAGAAATGCTTGTGGGAGGCTCAGGGCCCTGAGGACTTACGGGCAGACCCTGGGCTCAGAGGGGACAGTCGGGAGCTCTGGCCTGGCCTGGGGGTGTTGGCTGAGGTGGGATGCTTAGGGAGATGTCTGAGGGTCCCGTGTGGAGCACTTTGGGAGGTAGCCCACACCTCTGGCTCTATTCCCCAACTCTATACCAGAGGGATTTGGAGAACTTCTGGACCTAAAGGAGTACTGGGGTGGCCACTTTGGAAGGAAAGGAGAGGGAAGCCAAGTCCAGGTGGCTCAGGCTAAAGAGGGCTTTGGAGTCATTGGGTCAGTCTTTTGTCCCCAAGATTGTTGAGGGGGTATGTGACTCAGCATGTCCTTGAGTTTTCTTGGGGTCAGGTGACCTCTCTCAGGGACCTAGCTGAGAGGAGGCCCAATTCCCTAACCAGCTAGACAGGATGGGGGCCTCTGGGGTACCTGGGCAGAGGGGGCAGTGTTTTAATTCTGTGCTCCCCCAGTGAGGTAGCCTAGGCTAGGCCAGGGCGCCTGGGACTCAGACCACCATCAGTCAGTTTATCTCTGCCCTAGGGGCCCAGGTCTCCCCTCCTCACTGAGGGGTATCCTCTTCCCTTCTCCCTACTTCCTGGGATCACCACTCCTTTTCTGCCTGTTTGTGGGCAGAAAACCTGCCTTCCCCTGCCTGCCCTCGGCAGAATGGTAGGTCCCAAGGGCAGCATGGGAAAGGGAATGGGGGAAGCTGGGGTCCTCACCTCATGGATGTGTGGGTGCCATGTGGTGTGGTAGTCTGTAGCTGTTGGCTCTGTGAAGGCAGCTGAAAACCAGAGGCTGGTTACTGTTTTCCCCAGACAATTCCCCACGCCTGAGGGGCCCTTGAAACCCCTCGTACCGCCCGCCATGAATCTCAGAGACCCAGGCATGGGATGGCTTCCCATTCCCTCCCATTACCTCTGGGTCAGGACCCTGGGAACCCCACCCTACCATTGCCACTCAGTGGGCTGCTGCCCCCATGCCTGTTCTTGGTCCTGCCCAGCCCTGTCACTGCCCATCTGAGCATTGTCGAGGACCCCTGGGGATGGCCCCTCCTCAGTGATGGTAGAGATTGGAAAGTTCTGAACAGCCATTTTCAGGATGATCCTAGGGTCTCCTTCCTCTTCTACCTCTTCCTCTGCCACCCCCTAGAACCAGATTCCCTTCCTTCTTCCCACCTGCCTCAATAGTCTCGCCAGCCCAGTGACTTCCCACTGCTGTCACGCTGAGCTCTGGACTCCAGGGTGGCCAGCCCCTTATATGCCCTCCACCCCACCCAACTCCCAGCCCTCATTTCCCAGAGGGGCCTCTTGTCTTCAATGCTGATTGCCAGTGCTTAAGTCCTGTTGATAGTAAACAGGGCCCTGCCTGGGGCTCCCCACTGAAGACCTTGAACAGGCCAAGGAAGGTGGTACCTTTCTGCCCTGGGAGTCCCCACAGGTCCCCCATTTCTCAAGACCTCTGGGCCCAGCAGACAGAACAATGTTCCCAGAACAGGCCCAGTGCCTGGCCTAGAAGCTGGCATTGGATGGTCACCTGTGTCAAACGGGCCTGGCTGCCCTCTCACCCATTCAGGGGCATGGAGACAGGTGACTGGCCTTGCCCCCACCCCCTAGTCTCCTCCTGTGATCATTTCAAACAAAACTCTGTTTATCCTTCAATCAGCCAGGATTGTGGGGAGAACTGGCCCTGTGGTGGGGTGGTGGGGTAGAGAAGGGGAGAGGTCAAGTTCCCCGACTGACTGACCCAGGACTCAGCAGCTCATCCCCGGCAGACGGACAGAGGTGGCGCTCACCTGCTGGTTCCTCCACCTGGTACTCCTCGAGAACACCTGGGTCTTCATAGTCCTCCAGCTCCGGGTTCTCCCCCATCACCTGTTCATACTCATCCTGTGGGGAATGGCCATCAGGGCCTGCCTGTGAGGGTTCCTCATCCCCTCTCCCCATGAAGGTAGGAGCCCAGGGCCAACCACCAGAGCCCCCAGGTAGGAGCCCTGCAGATGCCAGGAGACCCACCTGCAAATCCCCCATGGTGCTCTCCTGAGTGTCCTGTTGTCTGCAGCAATCTGAGCCCGCAGCATAACCCGCCCTGTGGGTCCCTGCAGGGGAGGGGCACAGGCTGAGGCACAGGGCATCCAGGGGTCTCTGAAGCCTCCACCAGAGGAGGTTGCATTTCATGGAGGGATCCCAGGTGCTGGGAGATGGTGGGGTCAAAGGAAGAAAGTGGGGGTGGAGTGTAGGGGAACGAGCTGGATTTGTGGGTGCAAAGGCCCAGGGCTGGGAGAGCTAGGACAGCGCAAGGAAGAGGAAGCTTGGGGGCTGGCATCAATCTGAGTATCTTGTGGAGGGCGGGAGGGGGTGTCCTTCAAATCCGACTCCCTCGTCCATACACCAGTCCTCACCTGGCTTCTTTTCCTGCCCATCCTCAGGACTCAGCCAAATGCAGGGGCATGACCTGCCCCCAGTTCAGGGGCCCTAGCTCCCCTGAGGGTCTCCACAACACACCCCAAATATCCCCCCTAAATGACTGCCTCAGGCTGAGGGTGGGATTGCAGCATCGTTGGAGTGTGGTGGGCACAGTGTCCCTGGCACTGCCTCTCTGCGTTGAGGGAGGGGAACATTTCAAACCTGTATGATATGGTCTGCTTCTGTCCCCTACTCCATCTTGAGCCCCACACCCCTGCTCTCTCCCTACCTGTCCCATTGGCCTCCTTGTGGTTCCTGGAAGTCACCAAGCCCTTCCATGCCCCAGGGCCTTTGCATATGCGGTTGTCTCAGCCTGCATGTGCCACGACCCCACACCTCTTAGCCCTTTTCAAATAGCAGCCCAAATGTCGCCTCTTCAGATAGGCCCTCCCTGACCATCCTTGTGCTCACTAAGCCAACCTGTCATTTTCTGGTTTCTTGAATTATCTATGCTACCTTGCCTGACACTGCCTCTAGAAGAGAAGCTACATGAGTGCAAAGACTGTCTCAATCCCCACTGAATCCCCCACTTCCAGCAGAGTGGTTGGCACATAGTAGGTGCTCAACAAATATTTGTTGAGTGAAAGTAACAATGGCTCCCAACTGCAGGCTTGGGGCTCTGCGACTGGGGAGCCAGGATGACTACGACTCAGCCAGGAGGCCACTGAGCCCTTGGCCTCAGTTTCCTCAGTTGTGTGCCTCACAAAGAGGTAGGTATACCCCCTTAGGGATGTGAGGACAAGCCAAGGGACGGGCAGGGCTCCCTTAAGGTGGCCCCAGGCTGGGTATGGAGAGACTTCCTTTTCCTCTCTCACCTGCTGCAGCACAGGGAACTGAGGTTTAGGTCGGGCCGGTGTTTGGGTCAGGTCTACAGGCGTGCCCACCCTGTGCCTGGCATCATGCTGAGCACTGGGCTGCTGAGATGACCAAGACACTGTTCCTACTCTCAAGAAGCTCCTAGCCCAGACTCGGGAGACAATCTGGGAACACATGGCAGGCTGTCCCCCAAACGCAAGAGGCCAAGGATCTGTATGGCAGGAGGAAGAGTAGGACTTCCTAGGGGATGGGGGATGGAGTGTCCCTGGAGGAGAGGCCACTGGAGCTGGGTCTAGAAGCACAGGTGGGACTTGATGGTCTGAGAGGTGGGAAAGGATAGCCCAGGTGTGAGGAATGGTCGGGCAGGTGTGCCGAGGAAGACTGTGCCAGGCATGGCCAAGTGTCATGCGCAGGAATAGAGCAGGCATTCTATGCAGAATAAACTGTACAAAGAACTTCCTTTCTGAGGAACGGGTAGCCCTACAGTCCTTAGAGATAGCGAATGGGGCATAGCTGAGCCCCACCCAACTGAGGAATGGGAGGGGTCCCTGCCTTGAAGTGTTGAGGGGGGCAGTGATGACCGTAGGAGGATCCCAGAGCGGGAAAATTGGTTTGTCCCTTGAGGATCCTGGTCACGTCACACAACTTTTCTCTCTCCTCCTTCTCTCCCCCCCTCCCCAAGTTGTCTTCCCTTCCTCTTCTCTCATCTCTCTCTTACCTGTCATATTGGCCTCCTTGTGGTTCCTAGAACTCACTGAGCACCTTCCCTGCCCCAGGGAGTTGTCTCAGTCTGAACGTGCTCCCCGCCCCCACACACAACAGCCTTTCTCACATCTCAGTCCTTCTTCCTCTGGCCTTGCCCACTCCCCCTCCTGGGCCTCAGTTCTTGAGTAGCCTTAAGGGTATCTAAGCCTTAGGTGCTAAATGTCCACCTGTGGAGCTGGGACTGTGGTCTCAATTTCCCCATCTGAGAGGTGGGATGGTCAGAGGGGCCTTCCAGAGCCAGAGAGTCCAGAGATCCAGGTTGCTTCTCTGCCACTGACTGGCCAAATGGCCTTGTGTGGCTCCCAGACTCTCTCTAGGCCTCAGTCACCCCATCTATACATGGGAGTGCTATCTCACCGTGGTTCTGAGACATCAGTGAGAGAGAAGAGAGGAGAACAGAGGTGCCTTGAACTCAGCCAGGGTTTTGGAGGATGTATCCATGACTCAGATTGCTGGTCTGGCTCAGCACAGTTGCCCCCAGCCTCAGGCCTTGTTCTGCCCTCCACTGATAAGGACTCAGTCCCCAGTGGCGGCCCTGGGCCTGGAAGCACGCCAAACACCTGGCCAGTCAGCCAGCCAGCCGGCCAGGGGAAGGCCAGATAAGGGTGAGTGGGGCATCTGGGGCCCAGAAGTTGGGAGGAGTAGTGGACAACACAGTGGGGCAGAGGCTGGCAGGGGGAAGCAGATGACAGGGAGAGCTCCCTGGTGGCATGGCACCCTTTATGTAATCGCCCCCACACCATACCAAGAGCTGTACCGCCTTATCTTTTATAATCCTCAAACCCTCTGTAAAGTGGGTAATACCATTAGCCCCATTTTACAGATGAGAAAGCTGAGGTTTGGAGAGATTTGCCTGCTTCAGTCACCCAGTAGGTGGGTACCAGAGGCAGGATTAAACCCTGGCCTACCTGACTCCAGCTGCTTCTCTAACCACTATGCCGAGGTGCCTCTCGGAAAAGAAAGCAGCTATTCCTATTAGAAGTGGTTTAGTGTTAGTGGTTAAGAGCATGGACTCTGCAGCCAGACTACCTGAGTTCAAATTCTAGCCCTGCGTCTTATTAGCTGTGTGACTTTGGGCAAGTGACTCAATCTCTCTGTGCCTCAGTTTTCTCACCTGTAAAATGGGGGTAATAATAATGGTTCCTACTTCACAGACCTGTTGTAAGCATTCACTAAGTTCACATATAAAGCGCTGAGAACAGTGTCTGGCATACACAGAGAGCGAGGTAAGTGTTTGCTACCAACACTGTTGGTACTGGGGATTGAGGTCAGACTTGCTATCTTCATCACTCATCTCATTTTCCTTCATTCCCCAGGAGCTGAGCTTGAGCTAAGTGCTTTGAGAGCCTCAGGTTGAGGAGGGCTCCTCCGTTCCCTTCAAACACTCCCCAGGATGAAGACAGTCCCAGATCCCCTTGACAGATGCTCTGGAAGTGTCCCAAATGGAAAGCAATGTCAGCTGACATCTTGCCTCCTAGTAGGAGAAGGAGTGGCCTGGGGACCCCTGTGAGTGGAGGAAAGAAGGGGCTGGGTAGCTGATACTTGAGTCTGTGGGACACAAGGAGCTGGTAAAGAGGAGCTAGCCAAGGACCCACACCTGGAAGGGGACCAGATTTGCCTCCCACACCCCCCCTGCACCAGGCACACATACCTCTGCTGCCATGCACCAGCCTCCCACTCCTGACGCCCGCCACCCCGCTTTCCCCGGCTGCAGGTGCCAATAGGCCTATGCCCTTAGGGGCAACAACATACCTCATGACATTCTCACCCCATCCCTTGGAGGTTGGGCTGCCTGTGCACACCTGGGCACAGATTCACACTGAGCACCTGCAGAGCCCCCCAGGGCAGGTGCCGCAGGACCACTCCCCACCCCTCCCTGCCCTGCCCACCTGCTTACGAGCCTCGGGGTCCCTCAGCAAACTCTTGCAGCAGCGGGTGCCCTCTGCGACCAGCCAAGCTCCCGCCCGCTCTAGCAGCGCCCCGGGGGTAGCTCCCAAACCCCTGACTCATGCCCCCGCCTCCTAATCTGCCCGCCCCATGGGTCCCAGGATCCCTGGTGCACCCCCCGCCCAGCTCCCCCTGGGTGCCTGGCAAATAGAATTATCTTTCACCCACATCTGGACAGCTGTGAGGCTGGCCCACCCCACCCGCCCAGTCAGCCCCCCGAGGCCTCCCGTGGCCCTCCTGGCCCTGGGTTTCTCCTGGGTCTTCCTTCGTGGACTGAGGTTTGACAGCTGGATTCTCAGAGCTTCAGCCTCTTGGAGTTGCACCAGCCTCTGGAGGGCCTTGTCCTGCCTCTGCCCATCCCCTTGCCAGACCCCTCTGCTCAGCTTGGTGTCTCTCTGCGTCCCTCCTCAGCGCTCACTCTGTCCCTGCAGCCTTCTCCAGGGGACCTGCTCAGTGCTCACGGGCCCAGGCAGCCCCCTCCCCTCCTTGCCCCAGCCTAGAAGCCCTCACGGCCCTGTCCCCAAGACCCCAGCCGGCTCCGAAGAGCTGGCTCCTGGTAGTTAAAACACTGACAGTCAACCCAGTGACATCACTAGGGAGGCGGGGGGTGTGTGGACCACACTGGGTGACATTGTCAGAGGGGGTGACACCAACATGACTGTCTATAAAATTTTCGTGCAGTGTTTCAGCAGAAATTTATTATTTTTTAATAAAAATATCACTGTAGTTAGTTATAACAACAAAAACATTTTTTGTAAACCCAGCTTACAGGTATCAATATACCTACAAGGCGAAAACTCTATGCTGATTTACTTTTTGAACCTTCTAATGTGCTCTGGTTGGAGCTGTCTTTATCACCCAATCACAACGATGCTTTGAATCACGTGGTTTCGTCTGCATGTGCTACAAGCGAGCACTATTGTTTTGTTGCAGCCAGTGTTTTTATAGTTGCTGATTGTGTCAAATTTTCTGGTGTTTTAGCTACAGTATTGTGGTAATTAGCATGGGGGGTTGATACCATGAGTTACTGCACTGAGTGACACCAACCCTAGTGACGCCACTGAGTCAACCTGAAACAATGCCAGGGCAACAAAAACAACAGTCCCCACACCGCGCTCCATGGCTCACAAAGCCCCAGTGTCTGGGCACACTGGCTCCTCTGTCAGCTGCCTGGCCCAGGCCCCCGGGCCAGAGAAGCTGCATTCTCGGCCTCCGCTATGCCCATAACACCCCTCCCCACACACTCCCCACAGGAGGGCACTGTCTCCACTCCTGGGGGGCGCCTGAGACCTTATCACTTCTCTCTGGGCTCTGGTTGCTAAAGAGACCATCTTAAAGGAAGCTGTCCTAGCCCCGCTATGACACTGACTGGCTGGGAGACCCTGGGCCAGTCACTGCCCCTCGGGCTTCAGTGAGTTCTGGGTTCCATGTCCGCCAGCTTGGGGACTCCCTGGTTCAGACGCAGAACAATAGAAACCCAGAGACAGGGACAGAGAGATGGGCATATCCAGTGAGTACACAGCCACTCTCTAGGTCCCCACTGCAAGGTGGCACTGTGCTGGGTCCTGGCAGAGTTAAAAGGGCTGAACCAGCATCCCCCTGCTTATGGAGGACCTGCTCCAGGCCCGGGGCTCAGGCTCAGGCTTTATCTGGTGGTCACACTTGATCCTTACCACCCCACCCCCACACACATGTTTTACAGAGGAGGAAACTAAGGCCACAAGAGGTAAATTGGCTTCCCCAGTAAAAGGAATAACCACATGGAGCAGGCAGCTGCTCCACAGAGGGCCCTGGGCCAAGCTCTTCACACACATTAGCTTACTGGACTTTCTAAAACTTGCCAAGAAAGGCACTGTTTGTTGTTATTTATTCCCCTCGTACTGATGAGGAAGCTAAGGCCCCGAGAGTTAAGCGACTTGCCCAGGGCCTCTCAGCTGGTGAAGCTAAAGCCAGGTCTCAGACCCCGCAATCTGACTGCAAAGCCGAGCCCTGTGCCCTCTCCTGCCACCCTGAACTTCACGCCATCAGGAACAGAGAGAGGCCCCGGCAGAAGGAGCCTGCGAATGCCTCCTGCTCCAGTCTTGGTGCTCCTCTCCAGCTGGCAGGATCTGGGCTGGCTTCCTGTGGCCTCTGGCTGTGAAAACCAAGTTAAGGACCTGCCCCCCAACACACACTGCTCAGGGGCCCAGCCGTTTGCCCCTCTGCCTGCCCCAAGAGGCAGCTGAGTGCAGGAAGCAGCATTAAGCACCTCTCCTGGAGCCTAAGAAGGACTGACAGCTGGCTGGGACGGGAATGAGGACAGACAGGAACATCTGTCTTAGGAGGAGAATCTGCCCAGCTGTGTGGGCGTTCTGCTCGGACCCATGGGAGGGGGGGACCACAGCTCACCCTTCTGAGCCCTTACTGTGTGCCGGGCACTGTTCTCAGCACTCCACATGTATTATTAACTCACTTAGTTCCACATCCACCCTAGGAGGTAAGTTACTATCATGCTCTCCATTCTCAGATGAGAAAACATGCCCAGAGTGGCTGAGTGACTTTCCCAGGGCTGTACAGCCCAGCTCTGGAGTCTGTGCTCTCAATCGCGCGTGTTCAGTCCCTCCACTGAGTGTGTCAGAGCACAGGGAGCTGGATTGTGCTCAGATCCATCGTGGGCCGGTGGCAGCCTGGCAGAGACCCAGGAACATCCAGACAGGCAAAGCCTCGCTCTGTGTCTCCACTCACTCATTCATTCATCCTTTCATTCATTTATTCTGTGCATGGAGACCTGCTCCCTTCCTAGAGTGCATGCAGGCACCACCCCGGGCAGCCAGCAAACAGGCAGCAGCTCAGCAGATGGGTGTCTGGTCCTTTCCACTCACTCATGCCCTCGGTCCCTCTTGTTGCAGGGGGATGGTTCCCCAAATCTGCTCAACATTATATGTTTATTTAAGTTTTTCTAGGAAGAAGTGATGGCTCTCCTCACTTATTTTATCCCAATTTGGACTTGGGTTGGCTCAGTTCGACTGACAGCCCCCAGGTGCCTGGCACTGAGCTGGGGACTTTGGAAACAAGACAAGAGACAGGCTTGCTTCTCTCCAGCCATGCCCCTGGGATGGCCTTTGGGAATTGAGCAGGGCCCCAGACTCCTTAAGAGGGTGTCCTGATTGGCCCTCCAGGGCCACACACGCCACACCCTGTCATCCCTTTCCTTGGAGCCCGTCTCATCACACCTACTCCTCCATTTCCTAGGAAGGGAGGAGTCCCCTCCCCAAGGTCATGAGTGTCCCTCTCCAAGTTTATGCTCACAGAAGGCTGGGAGCCAAGGCCAGATGTCAGCAGGAATGCTGTGAGCTGAGGGCAGATCTCTGGCTGGATCTGTCAAAGCTCACCCTGAATGATGATGTGGTTGCATCCCCTATACGCTGTTATTTTGGATCACACGGCCCAGACAGTGATGTGGCAATGGGTTGTCCTAGAGGAAGACCCGGTGGGCAGGGGGTGGAGTTCTCATGAAGGGACAAGAGGTTCTTGTTTTCACTCATCCTGGGACGCAGTCAGTCTTCAAGTGACAAATGAGGACTTGGCAGTGAGCCTTGGAAGGGGAGGCTGTTTTCTCGCTCTTGGCCTGAAGGAGCAGAGACTGAGACTCCAGGGCGCAGGGGGCTAAGGGCGGTTTGGCGAGCTGTCCCTCGAAATGGCCTTGGCAACAAGGTTCCAGGTGGAGTGGCTTGAGCCTGTGGCCACCGTGGGAAGACCTAGCTCATAATCTCACCTGCTCTTACCAGCCCAGTAGGTAATTCTCGGCTGCTATTCCCAGGCCCTCAGCAAGGCCTTGCTGGGCAGAAGCAGCTGCATCAGCTCCCCCTTGGGGATGAAAGGGAGGGTCTCAGCCCACGCTTGGGACAAAGCCAGCCATGGTTTGCAGTGGCAGCTAAGGTGAGTGGGCGTCCAGATGGCACAAGGTGACTGACTGAAGGGAGGTGTGGTGGCTGAAGCCATGAGGCTGGCAGAGGGGACAGTGTGTGTCCAGGGTGGCCTGGGGGACCCATGGATATTCCCTGATGAAGATATGACTTCCTGTGCCCTTGTGGGCTGGGGGCTCAGACCACTGGGACTTTGCACTAAAAGGAAGTGTGTTTGCCTGGCTGGGACATTTGGGTTTCTGTAGAACTGCTGGAGCAGAAAGACCCACGTTCCCGGGAGGAGGACTCTTGTCTTTTCCTCTCCCACTGCATCCAATCATGGCTCATTCTATTGGCTCTACCTCCACGCTTCCATCCTCTTGTCTCCATTCCTACTGCCTTTCCCCAGGGCCCTCTGTCACCACGGGAGCCCCCCACCTGGCCTCTTTGCTTCACTAGGGCTCCTTATAATGCAGCTGCCACACAGCAGCCAAACTGATCTTTTAGAAACATCAATCAGATGCTATCACTCCCCAGCATAAACTCCTCCACAGCTTCCGGATGTGGATGAATGCCCATCCCCTATTCCAGCGACTTCTGCCCTCGGCCCACTCTGTCTTCTGTTCCATGACTGCACCAAGCCCATTCCTGCCCATCTCTCCCCTCCCTGCCTGCGTGCTCTTCCCTATATCCCCATGGCTGGCCTCTTCTCTTCCTCCAGGTCTCAGATCAGACAGTAACCCCTAAAGAGGCCTTTCTCAGTCCAACTGGAGACAACCCCAGCCATTCTATCACTGTGTCAAGGAAAACTAGGGTTGGCTGTGTGGGAGAGAAAACCCAAAATCTTAGTGGCTTAAACAAAGTGGAAGTTTATTTCTCTCTCATAGAAAAGTCTGGATGTGGGAGGCCCCAGGCTGATACCGTGCTCTGCAGTATCAGGAACCCCAGGTACCTTCTATTTTGTGGCATCTTCAACAGCTAGCTTTCTCCTCAGGGTCCAATATGGCTGCTGGAGCTTCATCCATCCCCTCTGCATTCCAGCCGGCAGGAGGAGGAAGGAATGAAGAGGAATGCAGCCTCTTCTCTTTAAAGACATTTCCCAGAGATTGCTTCTGCTGACAGCCCTGGTCAGGACTTAG